TTTTTTTGGTACCAGAGATCGAACTCAGGTCCTTGCGCTTGCACAGCAGGCAGCAAAACCACAGAGCTAAATCCTCGGCCCTTCCTCCTGCTATAAGACTGAGTTGAGTATCAAATGAGTGGAGTATGTGTATGTTACGTGTCACAGAAAAGGATTAGGAGGCTGTACACTCTGCTGCTACCGGTGACTGCCCATGGGATTCACTGATTAAGAGACTTCTCCTTGAACACTTCAAAGTTGTTTTATTTTGTTGCATCGAGCATTGTTACTTTTGTAATAAAAATGATAAAGGACAACCAGAGAAGAAGTCATCTTATAGAAGTGGGGTAACCATGTGCAGGATTATATAAGGGGCACTTGTAGGGGACCATTTGGCATCACTTTGCAGGAGGCTTGGCATCAGATGATGGCAGGGCCTGAATTGCAGACAAGGGGTTTCCAGAATCACAGCAAGTCAGGGATGGAGAGAAGCTTTAAAACACATTTAGTTTAACATCCTTCTCCCTTCATCATCTGTCCAGTGGATAAATGCCACCATGTATGAGCAATTGTGCTCATTCTGCTCCTCCACAGGAAAACATTTGGTTTGCTTCACAAATCTGTGCATTAAAGAAGATAGGACTATACCTAGTGGTAGGGAATGGGAAACTACAGGTGGATTCTGGACTGTTCTGGTTTGTGCTCTTGAAACGCTATCCATTGTTAGTGTGAGACGAGGATTAGAGGGGAAAGGCCCAGCCAGGGAGACCAATGAGGAGGCCGAGGTCAAAATCCAGGATGAGACGATCCAGGTTAAGACAGGCAGTGGCATGGGATGGATGGAGGAAGGAATATACCCCATATGACAGAACTCCTTGCACCCAGTGACTGCCTGCTCACAGCATCAGAGTCAACATTGACTGGGGACAGGAGAGGGTGGATGTTTGGGAGAGCCACTGACAGAGCTGAGAAGTCCAATAGGATAGAAAGGCATTTTCCCATCTATGTATAGATCCGCCAAAGCTTTGTAATAGACTGTGGGTAACATAAGCCTCTGCAGACCAGAAAATATTTTTTTATTCTTCTTAAGATGGGAGTGTACCATTTAAACAGAATGGGAAACTCCCTTTGCCTAATGAAAAAAAATAGCAGTATTTCCCCATGGGTGTTGCCAGAAAACCCAGGTTGGTTTAATTCGCTTCTTGGCCAAGTTGGGAGCTGGATAATTTTCTGGCTTTGCAGGTGCAGAGGGTGGGGGACAGGGCAGTGGAGGCTGCTTTGGAGCATCCTTCCAGCTCCAAATCTTAGAGGTGGAACTGGAAGTTGGTGCTGTAGGTCTGGAGAGTTTTAGTCGAGAAAAGATGTGATTTCCACATGGGTATGCAGGGGAGGGTCCCAGTGTGACTGTTTTGGAGATGGACCAATAGGAGACAAAGATAATGCTTTTTTTGTCTGATTTTGTTGGGAAATATTCTTTTAACAGATTCTGTCCTCCACTGAGCCACACTAGGTATGTGCTGGAGAGCCAGTGTACACCATGGTGAGTGCGGACAAAGCTGTTGGAAGCTTTTCTTTCCAATTTAAACTCAAATTGTGTGGTGCTCCAGGAGGCCTGGGGGCCGAGATGTTTTGATGACCGCATTGACTGGAAAACATAATTTGGGGGAAGCAAATAAGATTTAACACAGGAAACTGCAAAGCCAGAGAAGATATAGTTACAAATGTTCATTTTTCTCATTACTTATTTCTGGTTTAGGATGTAACATTTCTTAAACATTCATATTTATAAATTTATAAGTTATAGTGTTATCTAATAGTGTATGAGGGAAAATACTATATAATCTCATTTTTTTTTTCAAGACAATATTGACCTTGTTTTTCCAGTATCTTTTAGGTTGGTGCTTCTAAACCAAGGGAGGTTTTTGCCTCCAAAGGAACATCTGGCCATTCTTAGAGACATGTTTGATTGTCACAATTGGGGATGGCATATGTGCTGTTGGCATCTAGTGGCAACTGGCATCTTGTAGAGACCAGAGAGTCTACTGACCATCCCACAAAGCACAGAATAGTGATCTCTCCCACCCCAAAGAACTCTGTAGCCCAGTTTACCCTTTGCACATTAATAGCACTGATGTTGGAAAACTCCACTTGATGCGATTTAAAAAATTCTGATTAGAAGCAAATTGAAATTAGAGGAAGAGGAAGGGGAAGAAAATATAAAGTGTTCCTTGACCTTTTCAGAGTGAAAACAGTATCCTTACATCTGATGTCCAGGAGGAGGACCTGACTAAACAAGCTGAGGAAATACAGGCATTTGTCTGCCACCCAGGAGCTATTTCAATAGTTGGATTGCTCAACACAGTAGTTTGGAACAGGAAGTAAAGGCTCTTGCAGTGGGAGGAGGCTGGAGGGGTAATTTGTGGAGGCAGGAGATTTTATAGGCTGAAAAGGGAAGCTGGGTTCTGCCAGAATAATTTTTCAAAGTTCTACGGAATTTTTCAAAGTTTACTTTGTTACTTTGTTGAGGATATTGAGTGTGGTGCTTAGAAGACACAATCTCTGCTCCCAGAGCACATGGCCTTCTAGACTATGGGTCTGAGAGCCTGGGCACTTCCCAGATTGTTCTGTGTCCAGATGCAGAATGGAGAGCTATCCACACAGTTTTGTTTTCAGGTTGTATCTGTGTCCTTCTCCCTCCTTAAACAACTTTTGATTTTGGAAAATTTAAACACATACAAATTTGAGAAAAATAGTATACTGAACCTCTGTTTACCTAATGTACATTTTCAGTAATAGTCAACTTCTGGCCATTCTTTATCTGTACTCCATCTCTGAATCTCTTCTCCCCCCACCTCTGTACATGTGTGTCTGTCTCTGTCTCTGTCTCTGTCTGTCGCTCATCTTTTTTTTGTAGTAGTGGGGATTGAAACCAGGGCCTTATGCATGCCAGGAAAACTCTGTCACTCTTCCAATCTTGGCCCTCCCTTTTCTTAAGCCCAGAAATAGCATAAACAATTACCTGCCTACTAGGAGAGGCTTGACAGTGAAGGAGG